ATAATGGATGGGGATTTTGAGGAATGAGGCACAGTGAGTGGTTGGTTGCCAGAAAAACAATCCTATTATCAATTCCCGGAGAAAATACGTACTCTTCGCCAGTTGGCAGAAGCTACGTAGGAATGAGGCGCGGCACGATGACGTACTCTTATCCCATTCCGAGCGGCATTTCATGGGCAATTTAATGCCTCGTGTCCCGATATCTTCGCCGAGTTATCGGTGTTGGTGTAGCCTAGCCCGCTCAAACCCCGACTTCCCCTTTTGAAATGTCTTTTATCAGACACGTTGTTGTTATATTAGTCTTTGCCTCCGCGACGTCAATTATCGATACCCCGACAAGATGATTACGATTAGCGTTGATAGTAATTTTTCCTCTCGACCGGCCATCCGATTTTCAAGCTATTTCACTTGATCTTGATCTTTGCTCTACTCTGAGATTGGTAATTGCGCGGTTGTTTATCGGAGAATCACCGATTAATACCTCGGCAATCGATCGATCGCTTCTTACGCACTTAGTTATTGCATTTGACTTCTATTCTAAATATATATTAATCGAGTGTAATATAATTATTGATATAATTAGGAGGAGAATCAAAGCGTCTGATATGATAAGCATATCTCGGTATTAAATTAATAATCAGCACTTTCCAGCATAGTATTTTTCATGGAGATTAACATTGCATTTATTTAAAAAATATTGGATAATGATGTTATCGTTATAATCATAATGGTTGAAATTGAGTTTTATAAAAATTACTTTTTATGACACATATTATCAATTCATTATCAGATGTGTATCTGGAAATTGTATTATTTCTTTTTTTCTTCTTCTTCTTCTTCTTCATATGAATTTTATGAGCTTTGATAAAAATGTTTATACAATTTTTGTATATCCGAGGACGTAAACATTTATATGCATATTTATCTCCTTATGACAGACAATGCTTTAAATTTATCATAAATCATACGGCAATAAAGTTGGCTTGCACCATTATTAAAATATGTTATTTTCGTCGAAAATCATTAAACAAATATTCATGTTCAGCACTGTTTTTTTTTTTTCATTTTCCTCTGTCTTTGTAGTGCAATTATAGTTTATGGATATTACATCTTCCTGGAATATGTAAAATATATTATTTATAAAAGGCACTGTATTGTAACGAAAACGAATAGGGATGCAGTAATCAAAGAAACTTGAATGAACTTTAATCTTGGTGATTAAATGAACTTCAACCGTGCTTTTCATGATATTTGCTTACTTTAACACTTTCATCACTACAAAATGATTACAACTTTATTTCGTAGTTTCAGATACAATTCGACGATATGCCGTCTTATCATTGCAATATCCGATCTCTTATCATTAGCGTTATTAACGTTTATTAATCCGTAGCCATCATAATTCATCATAATTCAATAATAAGTAATAAATTTTCATTGTTTTTTTTTTTATACTTATTGTGAAATTTTTAATAATTCTTGATCTTGGCTCGTACAGGCGAACTATATTAATAAAGAACCATTAATGTAGTGACACGCACATGGAAATATATAATACCAGAATTTGAAAATTTGATTTAATTTTCTTATTAAAGCAAATTGTCTACAAAATTTAATGTTACATTATAAATTCTAAAGAAAAATAAAACGATTTACTCGTTATTTTATTAGACGTAAATTAAAAATTGAGTACACATACAAACAAGTTGTTTTTCCTATTCAAAAAAAAAAAAAAAAAAAAAAATATATATATATATATATATATATATAGACATGTTTTTATATTGTTTTTTATATTGTTATTGTTGTTGTTTTTTTATATGTATAAAAACAAAATTGAATATAGGCTTGTTATTTCATATGTTTCATACTCCAATATAGTCACAATATAAACTACTAATTAATAATCAATAATATCCGAAAGATTTAATGTACTTTCATAAAAATTTTCACACCTGCTTAGGCAATATTTTTCATCCTATTCGTTGTATGCTTCATTTTTGTTTCTTTAATCGTTAAATGTTATCATATGTTATACGTGCTGAAAGAGCGAATCTCGTGCTATACTTGGTAAAGCAACAATTAGCCTATCATCAAATGTACCATGACATAATTTATCATTTATGATTCGTAGGCGCTCAAGGATATATCTTGGCTTGCACTATGCATTATTACGCATATTAACAATTATTTTGATTTTAGAATTCTGTGCCTGATCGCGATTGAGAGAATGTGTAATCAATCTATCAATTAAAATATACTCGTTTTAATGTTGAGTTAACGTCGTTAGATAGAAGGTGAAAATTCTTAAAATGGCATGCTATAAAATATTCTCAAACCTTTTGAAAATAACATTTGATTCACCGTAATAGAATGGGTTATATGTATGAAAGGTTTCTCTATTAAATAAATTTGACGTTTATCGAGTCTTCTCCCCTATATTTAAACTCTTGACCTCAAAACTATTGTAGTTTCATTCTACGTGGGTAGTCTTTGCGTTGAAATACATCACGGAACGAAACATTCCACGAGTTTGGCCATGTAGTTTTACGACTCCGTATCTTATCATCTTACGTTAGCACAATTGTAGAGCTTGTTTTTGACATTAAAGAAATAATTCAATGATATCGACTATTAAACGATTAATAATTGTTTGCAACGATTCGTAGCTCATTTCTAATAGATCATCATCATCTCTTGTAATGTCATAAGATTTATGTAAAGCAACTGATCAGTTCGAGGATGCAGATGAATTTTTACCAGACGCGACAAACAAATTTAATAATCAGTTGAATCATACGTCGTGCATCATTTTTTAAATTCAATTCCTAATACAGAAATAATTATAATTAACGCTCTAGTTTAGTTAATATAGATTATTATCTTAAGTATTGCTACCAAAAATATATTTCAATAAAGAAAAACATTATTTTCCAATTTTTATAAAAGATGATAGTCAACAGTATGTCGATTTTATTTTTCTTTATTTGGTAATGAAAAAATTATGTAGTGAAAATTAAACTCTTGGGTAATAAGTTTTGTATCGTTATTGTAATTATTTATTCTTCATTACACGAGGAAAATTCCTTTGGCTGTATATGCATAACTTCTCTCTCTCTCTCTCTCTCTCTCTTAAACTACATTTTATCTATCATTTTACTAAATAGTTGCATGAAAATATTTTTTTTTTAATTGATATGTACGTAGTAAACTTCAGAAAATACTATTCTTTTTTATTTATTAAATTATACGAATTAACCCAAAAATATGATATTTTACAAATTAAGATACAATGAATATATTTTCATTATTTTGCATATATTTTCATAAATTTAAATATAAAAATATTATTTACAGTGTGAAAGAAGTATGAAAATATTTTAAATCATATTTATATTTAATATCATTATAAACTTGATATAATATATATTTATTAATGAACAGCTTCTTACAATAGTCAATGGTAAATTATTTAAAGAAAATATTATTTAATTCAGAGACGAATTAATTATATCGAAAAATACGAAATTGACTTACATAATTTTTTGTGAAAAATAGCAGAATCTTCTTATATAGTCAAGAGTCTATTTACAGGATTTCGAGAATTATTATTCACGACTCTACGGAACTGAAATATCATTTACGCTCAGTTTCATAAGATACCGTTTATTGATGTTGTTTTTTTTTTTTTTTTTTTTTTTTTTTTTTATAGCTAATATCTTTAAAGCAGATGTAATAATATAAGCAATTAGTATTATTATGTTCGAATAAATACTCGCCAATTTTAGTTGCAACTTTGTCGTAAACTCTTCTTCTCGCAAAGATAAGATTTGCTTTACAGCTCGAGCAATTAATAATTCATATAAATCTAAGATTTATTGAACTTGTATTTTACAATTTTTAATACTGTATATTATATTTTTATATCTAAAAACATCGTTTTTCCATAATAATATAGTTTTCACATTTAATAGCCTTTAATTAGCGAAGAGGAAATTAAAACATATAATTACAGTTAAGTATTCTAACGCATTTATAATAATTACCACTAACACTATCTATAATAACAGTGCTATTAATGAATATAATTGGATATTGGGATATTTGGATACTCAGGACTTTTCTCGATGTCCACAAAGAATAAAATTTTCATATGCAGTGACAAAATGATATATAATTTAATGCACACACACACACACACACACACACACACACACACACACACACACGTCAAGTGAATAAAATATATTTGTACACGGAGTCATTTAAATTAAATCGAAATAATTTATTCGTGGATAAAAAGAAAAATAAGGTAATAAATTTAGAAATGAATAATAAATTACGAAGATTACATCGATTAAAAAGTAATCGACATATAGGAATTTAAAATACCTAATTTGGCATACAATATCAGAATTTTAAATAAAATCGTCGGAACAATGAACTTGCTCCATAACTTTATACAAAATTCGTCATTGCTGTTGCGACTAAGATTTTAACATTCGTTCACGATATTTTTCACTGCATTTGTTATTGTAATTTTGTTAGCATAATTTAAAAGTAGCTAATATATCGTAATTGGTCTAATTGCTTGTGAATTTTCAAGTATTTTATGTTAATTTTCGTTTTATTTGAAATAAGGAAATCAAATTAATTTTTTTGTTTTTTTTGAAAAATTAAATCATCTCTTTAAAATTTTAATGTCTCGCAATACTTTTATAACGACATTAAGCATTAGCATCTTTAAACATTTCATGAAATACATTCGTCGGTACAATTGGATGTAAACAATGCTTACAAAAATAACAGCGTGAGATAAAATGAATTTTGTTGGCACGGATGAGCAAAATGTCGTTGCTCTTTGCTAATGAAAAAAATGTCAGCCTATTAATAAGAACATAACGATGAGCGTAGCTTAAGTAGTTAACATCGAGCCTAAATCAACGTTATCCCCAATAAAAACATATCTACGATACTACAGCGAACTTTGACATTTGCAGGATCCTGGGATTGGAGTCTTTGCTGAGTCCATCCGAGAATGTAAAACTACCAGAGGTGCGGCCATCGGACATCGCCGTTTTATTATACAGTTCGGGCACAACAGGTATCCCTAAGGGTGTAATGCTGACACACCGCAACCTCGTAACGAACATCATCCAGCTGACGGATCGAGCACTAATCGATTATAGCGACCCGACCGATGAATTCCAGGAGACGGTATTAACGGTGCTGCCCTTCTTTCACATCTATGGCTTCAATACAATCCTCAATTACATGACTTACATCGGTGCACATCTCGTCACAATACCAAAATTCACCCCTCAGGACTACATAGCCTGTCTAGAGAATCACAAGCCCACGGTGCTCTTCGTCGTACCTTCGTTATTATTATTGCTCATCACGCATCCCGAGGTCACGCCTCAGCATCTTTCTAGCGTGAAGAAAATATTCTGTGGAGCAGCTCCCATGAAAAAGGGCTTGATCGATCAGTTCTTTAAGAAGATCGGACGCAACGACTGCACCGTTTCACAAGGTAGTGTAGTAGTAGTAGCCTTTGCTGACTTTCCCGACAAATACACCACCTGACTCCCCGATCTCACATCCACCACACCATTCGCCACACACTCGATCCATTATTGTTGTATTGATATTGTTATGAAAGGTGATCGTAAAATCGGTTATAGTACTTTGCTAAAGCATGCGCTCCTCGTAATATCAAATCAGGGCAACTTTTCAAATATGAAATAGGCTTAGTTTAGTATGTAGTCTAACAAATGACAGATAAAATCAAAATGGTGTTTCTTTTTCTTTTTTTGTTTGTTTGTTTGTTTGTTTGTTTTTTTTTATCGAATGCGTTTACAAAATTATCATTTAGAATATTGTTACTTAATGAAATCTGAAATAATTTTCTTACGTACTAGTAGAGAAATACCTAGCAATTGAGATTGTATTGATTCGCACGTTATGTCGAATCATTTCATTTGCATATTAGGACATAGATCATTTTCCATTGATAAGAGATACGCGACTACATATCGTTGGATATAATGCCCACACGCATATTAATAAAAAATTATAATTGGCTTGTAAAAAAAAGAAAAAAAAAAAAAAAAAACAATTAATTTAGCTTTAACAAGTTTTAGTTATTTATTGATAGTGAGTAAATAATATCCATGTGATAGAAGAACGGAATTGTTCGTATTGATTTACGTATAATTAAAGGAAATGCCGATATATAGAGAAAATATATGAAATTATAAGTAATTTCCTAATCCTATGTTATTGACAATATTAAGTGATTCGTAATATTTCGAAATTTTAAAAGCGAATCATTTTATTTCATGTAAATATGTAAATTTCATTCACTATGACAGTTATTTTGTATTAGCAATGAAATATTTTTTTATTTTTTTTTTATTTAATAAAAAAGTATTGGCCTGGCTTATTTCGATATTATTTTAAGTGTAATTTAAGTCGTAGATTTGTTATTAGAGATCTTTACTATTTATAAGCAAACTGTTTATCGATTAATTTATAACTTTTGGATAAGTTGGAAATTGTTGTAAGTTTTAATAATTCGCGAGAATATTAACTAATTATTCTAATAACGTATTGTAATTTTATTTTAATTAACTGCCTTTTTAAGCACCGGGTAATGTAATAATCAATACGTAACACATATGTATTCGATGTAATACATTTGTTTTATGTTAAACTTCGGTCAAAAATTCAACTAACAGCCTTGAGAGATTAAAAATTAAAGCTATTTTCATTGTGAACATGATGTTAAATTTGAAATAAATTAGGCCCAATAGTATTGGGATATTAAAAGTTAATTATATAAAAACGATAAATATGACATTAAATTTGCATAATTAAATCGAACGATCGTTTGGCGAATTAAATATGATTAAACAACAATAAGTACTTTGTTTTTTTTTTTTTTTTTTTTGTTTTACATTGGAGCTTTAGCGACTAACGACCTTAAATTGCGCATATTGATTGTCGAAATGTCAATGGACAACAAGAATCGAGTGGCTCGTTCTTTGTATCTTCTTTTCATTACTTTTCCCGCATTTTTATTAATTATTCGTGTTTTCTCAATTTTACATCGTAAATTCGTGTATGTAAATTCATTTTGAATTAAATCAATTTATAAAAACCATTGCGTCGCAAACATAGACAATGAATCTTCGTTCAATTTTATTGTTTTATTTACGAATTTCGTTACCAAGTTAATAAACTTGAATAAACAAGATGCATATCATATCGGTAAAAGTCTGGCGATAGGTTTAATTATATCTGATTATAATTGATAACCGTTATTAATTTTATCAAACGCGTCTGCTCGACATAGTATGTAAATGAAATAATATATCCGCAATAAAATATTTGAAGACCATATGACGTTAAATTTGCTTCAAATTAATTATTAGCTTTAACGTTTTATTAAATACATGGATTTTATTCTTTTTCAGCTCTTGATTAAAGAATTAAGAGTGAAAATCCAATTAATAATTGGACTTATAATTTAATTTATTATATTATATCGTCGTTGGTATTATTTTGGAATTAGTGGTCAATAAGACAAGAAAGATTGTAAGATTTTTGCCAACAATTGACGTTAGTCTAATAAAACGAGCACTGTTCGATCCATTATTAATCCGTACAATTACACTTATAAATCATAATTTCCTCCTCTAAATGCGCTTGTCGATAACATCGATTAAGAACGAAAATGATATATTCGTTAAATAAGAGAAAACATACGACAAAGCACTTGAAAACGTGAAAATTTCGGTGTTCGCCGTTAGGTTAACGGAAAGGCATCCGCGTGTACCCGAATCTCATCGATTCAGCAAGCATTGGAAGCTTTTAATTTAAATGTTAATACATTGATGTTGCTTAGGATACGGAATGACTGAGACGAGTCCTAGCGTAACAATAACTCCGTACACGATGCCTTATTCGAAGAGTGGAAGCTGCGGTAAATTGTTGCCCTCCACATTGGCGCGTGTGATAGACTTGACAGACGGTAAAGATGTAGGTATGCCCAACAAATCTGGTGAGTTGTTAGTAAAAGGTCCACAGATTATGAAAGGATACCTGGATAATCCCAAGGCCACTAGTGAAGCGATCGACATCGACGGCTGGCTTCACACTGGCGATGTCGTGTATTACGATGAAGACGAATACTTCTACGTCGTAGATCGCACAAAGGAATTGATTAAAGTTAAAGGAAATCAAGTGAGTATGGCTTTTCTTTTATCTGTACGGCAATCTTCTTTTCTTCTTTTTTTTCTTTTTCTTTATATATATTATGATTAGGGTGCTTATTTTACGTAAAGGCTATTCTTGTACAAAGTGTCGAAAGGTAAGAATTCGCATTGCGAATCGATGATCGATGACTGGCTGAGATAATTAAGTATTTTTAATATTCTATTGTTGGAATGCAGCGGAAACTATCATTGTAAATCGGAATATAATGGAATATATAAATATACACGACTAAAGTGATGAAAATCAATTGAACAAATAGCGAAGAGAATTATAAAATTGAACTTTCATGACGCCGCAACGATGATAATTACAAACTCCCGTTTACAATCAGACAGAATAAAATTTGTCTTTTAAATTTAGTTTTATTATTAAAATTATATATATTATATTTTCCAACCGCGAATGAAAAAGTGATATATAATCGAGGTATTGATCTATTAAACAAAAAAAAATAAAATAAATAAATAAATAAAAAAAAAATAAAAATAAAAAAAGTTACAATACATTAAAACGTAATTTTATATTTAAATACGAAACGATCAAGAGTATATGGGGGAAAATACACACGCGCGCGCACACACACACACACGCACACGCACACGCACACACACACAAAAACAAACTTTCATTGTGAAATTGCGCTAGAATAAATTATCGAAATAGATAAATATATTTTCGCAGTTCTAGACGACGATTGTAAACATTTAATGGAGCGGTTACTAAAGAATAAAACAGAAAAGCTTCATTGGCTTTTTTTTTTCATTTAATAAATACAGATAAAATTGTTATTTTCTGGTATGCACGTATATGCACATCAACGGAGCTTATCGAATAAAATTTTTATTCTGTAGAGGTCAGGTTCAGAGATGCAATTCTATAAAATTATCTAAAACATTGTGTGTTCATATTGTTAGTAATCTCCGTGTATTTTGTTATAAAATAATTATACACAGCTATCTTAAACTATTTATAAATTTAATAATTACTGGTTTACAGTCGTAATTAAATTATTACGTTATCACTATGCTTTACGAAATATGTCACTGCCGAATAATGGGCCTCACTTTATTCTTCCAACAGCCAAAATGCGTGCGTACTTATTTCGATTTATCATCGCTTTTTAACGTAAATTAAATTCAAATAAATTTTCTTCGATTTCTCAGCAACCTAACGATCATAATTTATTACCGAATCATAATTGCTTCCCTTTGTAAACGCGTGAGAAAAAATATCTTACATTAATTAGTTCTATAAAAGAGAGAACATAAATGTATAAACTCTTAAATGAAAAAAAAATCATGCCCATATATTGGTCATTATCATTTAATTCTTGATTATTTTTACTTATTAAAATATTTGCCTGTTTTTTGGAGCCAAATTCATTATCAAAATATGATTTTTTACAATACAAAAATTGTAACTATATATTTAAATAAAATATAAAGTACTTTAAATTAGTATGTATGCAGTTTTATTAAGAAATTTGTAATAAAAATAAAATCACATTTGCACATATTCTTCTAAAAATGATTTACTTAAGCAAATATGAAATTCGTTGATGATTTCATAAAAATGCTCATTAGATCGTGAGAACCTTTAAATTTGCGGACACGAGTGTTTTTTCTTTTTATTCTATGCCTTTTACTTTTTTTTTTCTTTTTTTTCTTTTTTCCCCCCATTATATTATATTGAAACAGGCAGAAATTTACTTAAATTTTAAGAAATTTTTACTTAATTCTTCGCTGATAAATCGCTGGATTTTTTTTATTTTATTTCATATTTTATTAGGAAGATAATTAGTTAACTTGAAAAAATTGATCCCTGCGGCGCATTTGAAGGCGTCTGAGCGTCGAAAGGAAATATCGAGCAAATTTTCATTTGCTCGTTCACTCTGATTTGCTGTACAAATCCGGATCAATGAGCGCGACCATTGTAAAAAATTAATTCCCTTCATTTCATAATTAAATATTTTCTTTAATGACATATTAATCGTTTAAAAATGATTTCACACTAGTGAAATCTCGTGTACATAGTTATGTGTTTTGTTCACTTTTGTACAGTAAATACAGATTTTTAATTAAAAAAAAAAAAAAAATTAATAAATCATTAAGTATATTATATTTATATTATATCATATACTTCAATGAGTAATACATACTAAAATATTGAAAAACTTTGAACAAATTTAAATTATTTTGTAATATTAATTTTGAACAATGGTTTCGTGTCATAGTTCCTGATATTACGAATACACACTCTTTATTCGTCAAACGTTGTGTAACAAAAATCAATTTGTAAAAAGACCAGAGTCCATTATTTAATATCATATCTTAATCATTAACTGTTCATGGCTTCAATCGTCTCTTGCTCCATTGGCTCGTCTTGTTGTGCACTCGACATTAGACCTTCGTTATCAATATCCATTGATTCTGTCGTCCCTTTATTGCTTTGTGCTTCTTCGCAACTTGAAATGATCATTTCGTTATCCTCTACTTGACTTGACTCGGTTGGCAATTTGGCTAAGTCGTTCTTTATAGTGGACGTGTCATCTTCTAATTCACTCGTCACTTCAGTAACTGATACCGAACTACTCGCGTCTTTGGCTACCAATTCCGTGGTGTCTTTGGGTTCCTCGATAATGGGAATTGAATTGGAAACTGCAGTTTTACTCGATTCCATGTTGTCTTCTACACTTTTTTCTAGCGTTAATTCGACACTCTCTACCTTGGCAGTGTCGTCAGAATCTGTCGTTACTAAAGGAGATTCTTCGACACTAATTTTGTCTTCCGTGTTCGAAGCTTCAGTTTCTACTTCTTTAGATAATTCCTTAACGTCGTTTTCAGATGAGTCGGATACATCTGGTCTATTCTCCTCAATAACCGATTCACTTGTGTTTTCATTTTTTACATCGATATCACATTTCTCCTCGATTAAAGTTTTAGTCGAGTCTTCGGCGTCATCTTCTACCTCATCTTTTTTCACATCCAAATTATTGTTTATAAGTGGAAGGCTGTCCCCACACGTGCTAGACTTGGATTCACAGTTTTCACTATCTTCTGCTTTGGTTACAAACTTTTTATCAACCTGATCTATTTCACTTACAGTGGAATGAGTATCTAAATTATCTTTCTTATCAGAATTTTCTGAATCATCTGTACTTTCGTTCAATAATTTTTCACCCAAATATGCAGACTCGATAAGTTGGTCGCATTCTTTGCTAGATTCATTACACTCGATGCTGTCTTCTGTTTTAACACCTTTCAGTGCTTCCGAGTATATTTTTGGGGATTTAACTTCGTCCAATGAAAAGTCTTTTGCTTGGAAAGTTGTTTGCAGCTTTTTAGACTCACTACTGTCATTATCGTCACTCTCCAACTCCAAGCTAGGCTGCGAACTAGTATCTTCGTTCATAATAGCATCAGAGACGTCGCCAACGATCGCAACTGCATCGTGATTCACAGTCGTTAAATTCTGCACCACAGTGGCAGTTTCTTGTACTGCAATTTGCGTATTGGCAGTTGTTGCGGTTGAAAAGTCCACTGTGGATGTAACAAAGCTAGAGGTGGTAGCATCAACGGCTGAAATTTGTTCTATTCTTTCGTGCTTACTAAATGCAGTTTTTAATGGCAAATTCAAGCCATTCTCTACGGATATATCATCGTTACTTTCTGGATTTACAGGAACAGCGGTCGTCTCAGTACAGTCTTTTACCCAACTTTCCATTTCAACCTCATTAGAAGTCTGTCCATGATGAGAAGTCTCATCTTCAATGGACCCATTGACCAGACTATCACCATTTTCACTGCGCCTACCATATGGTCCTGGTTCTCTTGTCGAAACCACAAGTATATTCTTCTCTATGGCTCGCATGAATTTGTCTATACGATTGTACTCTTTTCGTGGCGTCGTAAGGAGTTCGCATATTCGTTGTACCGTGAATGGAGCATTAGCAAAGCTTTCCAAGCGCTCCAGTAGAGTACTCTTCATAATGTCATAATTAAACTGCTCGACGTTGGGACACGGTGTGAGGTCAAGGGTTGGACAGTTTTCGTAGAAATCAGTCATCACTCGCATGAGCTTCTCTCTGAACAGAGCCTTAATAAGACTCCATTGATACACTGGGTCACCGGTCCTGGCCACCCAGCACAAATAGTCCTCCAACTCTCTTGGTATTTCGGACGGTCGCATCTTCTGGAACTCGTCGAGCGCCTGCAGCACCTCCTCCGGATTTTCCATCCTTCCCCTGCTTTCTCCGTCCTTTAAAAGCGTTTCTACGCAGGGATGCCCTTTCCCGGCGAATAATGCGTTAACGGTCCTCCTGCCTCTCGCTCGGAGCTGGAATAAAGAATGCAGAGTAAATGAGATAATTAAGCAAGTAAAATCGAGGTTCCGGGCTTAGTTAGTCTCTCATGGGTTATCCGGCACTCGTGCGAATACATTACTCACGAGTTGCGCAAAGCTGCGACGACGCGCCAGAAGACGACCACGGCGATGACGATCGTTGGCCGCCTGATAAACGTACGATGGAGACCGAGACACTGGGATATTATTTATTTGGACGATAGCAGGGGGGAGGGGAAGATAAAATGTGCAACGGGCAACACACACATACAAATGCGCGCGCGCGGGCGCACAGCTGCTGCATATAACTCGTTTGTATTATGTACGATGCCAATACACGAATATGGAATTTGACCGGCCTCGGAAAAAACACAGAACCGAAATCCCGTTTCGCGTATTATGGTGGGGAGGTTATGTGCACGCGATTGTGCCATAAGTGTATGCGTGCGGTGCTGCGCGCGGCGACTCAGGCATACCAAACTACAGGCTCGACTACGTTCTCTTTCGCTTACCAGATGCTGACCGTAAGCCTCTTAACAGTATAACGGAAATTTTACTGCCTTTGGTTGGCTGATTTAATTATATCGGTTCGCGCGTACCAAAGACAATGAAAATTATGCCGAACAAGTGACATTATTTACTTTAAATAATTAGTTTACTGATTAAATAGCGCGTGCGCGGATGTTGACCGTCATAATACCACCATGGCTACCATATTGAATATAAATGTCCATCAATTATCAGCGGAACATACGATTTAAATTTTAAACTCCTGCAACTTTTTAGCATAACATTTTGCTTATCACATAGTTATCATTTTTGCCAATATATATATACCTCATAAGCAATATCACCCTCTAAGACTTTTTTTTTCTCATAATTATTTATGATATTTTGTTATTTTCTCAGGGCTTCAATGATAGCTTATACAGTCGGATCATTCGAGTTTTTCAGTTTGTACGCTCTAAAAAGCATATGGAGAATTTGTAATTGTAGTTGTTCTTTGTAGATTCTGAATAAAAATTTTATCATTCGAAATTCGACAAATAATTACAAAACTATAAACATTGATGTATTGTTCGGTTCGTTAAATAATTTTCCCAATATAATTGATTTTAATGATGATATATTAAAATTTAAAGTCTACGGGATTAGATATTTAAGGACAGATTTTTGTTTATAAACCCATCCTAAGTATCTACGTATTCGTTATGTCTGTTATCTTTTGTCAAAAATATAGTTAACTCGTTGTGCCACTTTTATAATAAATGTAATTATCATCAGTGTTAAGCCAATGGTTAAAAAAAAAAAAAAAAAAAAACAACATTAAATTTGAATATAGAAGAACAAAGTAGAGGATTCATTAAAAGAAATGAATATGCTTATATTTATTACTTATGAACAGTGATAGAGTAACAATTGTAATCATAGCTCTGATGGTCATAGATACAATTATAACAATAAGAAATTGATGTCGAGTCAAGCACTTATTCGAAGAAAGTTTAATATATAATATTGATAACGTAGTTAATTAGTCATTTATTTCGTATTTTCTATTCTACATATATATATATATATATATATATATATATATTTTCTTAATAAAAAATAGTTCAAATTTATTTTAATATCTCGATAGTTAACGATTTCATTATTCGTTAATTTAATAAATTACCACTTGTTAAACACTTGTGGAAAAATTCGAAACATTACTTTCGCTCATATTGAAGAAAGTATCGTCGAATATTCTGGCAGAAGATTATTCTTACTTAAATCGAAAATGATATTCACAATAAATTTTAACAATTAATAAAAGAACATATTTTCAACGTCGAAAAAATCATTATACTTATATGCGTATTCAATGATCAGATTTCATTCTTAATATCTAATTAATCATATATAATTCTAAATTTCTAAATGAAAATAATCACTGTTTCTGCTCCTTTGGTGGGGCACATTTTTCACTCGCCAATGTTCTTTATTATCTTCGTAACGTACGTAATTTATTTACCAACAAATATTACAATTCAATAATATTGTTCAATTAACAATTACCCCACAAGAAATATTTTTATGCATTTTCAATGATCAAACTCAATCTATTATATTTGGAGTGAAATTAATGTAAATTAATTTCTTTGACCTTATATACTTCACTACTTTCTATTATAAATTATAACAAGCTTTTTTAACGGCATAAGATTCATTTAAAAATCAATATTAATGAAACTACTGTAGATAATAAAAATAAAAACAAGTTCGAAGCGCGATAGCATAACATAATATATCATTAATTGAATTCATCTTATAAATATTAAAGGTATATTCATTAGACATGTTCCTTTTACATTTTCAAGCGATAGAAGAATAAACTTTGTCATGAAAATAATAAAGCCAGACGAAAAGATTCAAGAATAAGTACCCGACTCTAATAAAATCCATTCTTTCTTGTTCAAAATAAAAAAAAAACAATATATATATATATATATATATATATATATATATATATATATATATATCTATATATGTGTGGGTGTGTGGGTGTGTGTTTATTAAGGTATCGCCGACGGAATTGGAGTCTCTGATACTGGAAATGCAGGGTGTAGCTGACGCCGCCGTGATTGGAATACCCGACAATGTCGCCGGAGAGCTGCCAAAAGCCTACGTAGTGAAGAAACCCGGCTTCGATAGCGTCACCCCCGAACAGGTGCAAGAATTCGTCGCATCGAAGGTATGCACGAACTAGACTACCATGTTCTCGTTTCCATTTTGTCCAATTGTCATTGTGCGTATGGTAAATCAAGGTTCTTATCCTTTTTCGCGCTCAGGTGGCGACGTATAAGAAATTGGCCGCTGGCGTGACCTTCCTCGATGCTATTCCAAGGAATTCAGCGGGCAAGATCCTGCGCAACGAGTTGAAGAATCTGAGTTCTTGAGAGCGATGCACGTGACAAAGGCTCATCAGCTTATTATGCCTCATTGGGACAATGGATCTCGCGCGATTATTATTATTAATTACAATACAGACAAGTAAAACATCGGCCATGACTTGCAACAGAGTAAAAATACGTTTTTATAATGGAGTCTCATTACGAATAAACATTATTCTAAAAGTAAATTTTTGTTTTCTTTTACACACTTATATCATTCTTTTGATTATCATTGGAAGAGCGCCTCTAGTCATTTTTATTAAAAGAAAAGAAAAAATAGAAAGAAAAAAAAAGATGAATCGACCATGAATTTCTATAATTTACAAATATTTGCAAATATTTTATAGGATTTCTTTTTTTTAATAAAGAAAGGTCATCTTAATACCTATTGCTCATTCGTACGTTTTTAATTTTTAATTTCATAATAATGTTTCTGTAATGGACGACTTTTTAAAGCCAATAAAATGTGGAAGCAATTTTATACCATTTAACGGAAGATCATTTATAGCGTTTAAAGACAGAGATTTTATTCATTTTCTTACATTTTGCCGATAGCTAATGAGATTTCTTTAATTTTCTAACTTTTATCGGACATTTAATAAGACAACATAACAGGTAGATATAGAAAACAATTAAACGATGGAATAAGAATTATTTGTATACGCATGTTTTGATATAATATATGAATTTTCATCTTAATTTGTATTATTATACTTCAATGATCACACGATACGTAATTAATCCAAAGCAGATGTACTGACGCACGCTCAAAAGATGTTGGGGTCCCATTCGAGTTTCAGTCTTTTCCACGAATATGGCAATTTAAACATACTCGCTTACTCGCTTAAAAAATTTGTTTATCACTCACAACTCGCTAATTTCTTTGTTTAAATTCTTATCTTTTTATTGTTTTTTTATTTATTTATTTATTTTTTTAATGCTTCATTTTTCCTTAGCACTCTCTCACAAGCTTATATATGCTTATATAAGCTTATCTGATATCTTTCGTTATTACTCACTTTTTCTCAAATAGTTAAAACAATACACCGGTGCAAGCTTAATGAGAAACAAAATAATTCTTACGCCTTTATTTAGTTCATAATGGTGGGCGCTTTTGAGAATAAACAAGCTCTAACAATTACTTTATCTACCATTACGTTCTGAGAATTGGTGAAACGGACTTTAAGTAATATATGCATAAATTACATTAATTTATTAAAATTTGCATATATAGTTTATACATTAAACAACATTTATATGTAATTATATACGTAAGCATCCGCATCCATGAACACATGCGGTTGTATACAATTATATATAATTGCTTTTACCAGATATTTTTGTACTTCTAACTATATATATATATATATATATATATGCAAATAATGTACGAATACGTAGTTCGTGAACCTTTCATTTTCATTTCTTCGTTTATACTTCTATTCTCGATGATGATTTACTAGTCCCAATTTAATAGGGCCTCGCAATTTTTATACAAAGTTTCTTTTATGTTTTATCGACCAATTTATATCTTTTTGCTTAATATACTTTATATTATAAATAAATAGGTTAGCAGTAAGAAAAAAAATTAATGAGCGGCGCAATCAACACAATATCTTATTTTTATTAATATTTCGACAAAAATTAATATATCGAGTACAACAATCCAAGTTGAAAAAATTCTAATATTTATTACGAATGTACCTATAATTTAACATCTGGGACTTATTTGATGTAGATGCTTGTGTATGCGTATGTATAATTTTATAAATATTAAAATAAAAAAGCACCTGCGTTTATATTAAAAAAACACAACTATCAAACATCCTCGTTATGAAACAATGTTTAACAATTTAATAATTGCACTGATTTATGCTTCGACATGACATATTCATAACAAAGACAAATGCTTATTTCAAAAAGTGCTTTATGCATCCATCTATATTTATTTTTGTACTATAACTAAAAAGCTTTTTAATAAATTGAGACGTTTACAAAAATAACAAAATAATTCTGACACCTTAAATAATTATATATTACTGAGTGAATTAAGTTTTTGAATAATAATTATGATATAACAATCAAAATTTACAATAAACAAAATACAATAACAGTTGTTTGCACGCAATTTTCGTAATCTTTCAATAACCAACAAATATATTTAATAAAAAGATTAAAGTTGTGAATCGATTAAATTGAATAAATTTAGTATGTACAATAGCTTGATTACAAATTAAAAAACTTAGGTATTAGAAAAAAAACAAAAAACAAAAAAAAAAAACAAAACCACAAATATTCGTAGGTAAAGGTAAGCCGAGGATGTATTGATTATAATTATATTAATCTTTCAATTAACATTGTGTACGTAGATTTCAGAAAATCTGGAAAAAATTCAATCTATATATTATATTTAATAAAAATTCTGAAACCTGCATTGACTTTCATTTTTTTTCATAAATTTCAATAATTATGTTTTCATTTATTCAATTTTCTCCAAATTTTTAGTTTAACTATATCTGGCGATCATTTCATTGATATTAATTTTCATAATTTATCGATGGTAACAATCAGCTTATTATTATTAAACTCAAGATTAAATTTCTAAATGTAATTTTAAGCTTCCTATCAATTGAAAGTTATAATGAAAAATACTTATTTATGCATCAATCAATATATTGATTACTCTCATGTATAATCATTATATTGAAAAATTTGAAACAATTAACATCAACGGAACTAGCAACATACTTAATATCAGAAAAATAAACATGTAGTGTGAAGACGCGACAAACTAATCATTCGTTTTCTCACAGGCACGTGATACGAGACAGGTGAAAAACCTAAGTCTTTACACGTAGTTTTCCGACAATTCTGTCGCTCTTACATATTTGTTATTTTCATTAATTTTTTTTTTCAGTCAATCGTCCATGATCCAATGACGATTTTACAAAACTTGTATGCGAGCTGCAACGCTTTTATCATCATTCATTACATATGCTTGCATACATGCATACATACATACATACATGCATAAATATATATATATATATATATATATATATATATATATATATTACAAGTATATTCTCGCAGGTAACAATAAGTTAAGGTACATGAGGGCTATAACGAAACCCTGACTCAATGACTGATTAGAGCAAAGAGTGCATAAAGATTATTTGTATGATTTTTTTTATTTCTTTTACATTTAGCGAGAGTGCTGAACTTATGAGACAAGAAGAGATATATTATGCATTTATAAATAATGACGATTAATGTTATTAATTAAACTCGTAGCGGCGATATTATAATAAATATAAATAAATATATTATATATATATATATATATATATATATATATATATATATATATGTAATATCTATATGTATATATATATATAATATCTATATGTGTATATATATATATATATATATATATATATATATATATAATATGTTATATATGAATGCGTATATATGTATTCATACACACATTAATATACAATATTCTCATAGAAATAAATTCATTGATATTTACGAAAGGTGACAATCACTTGTCTTTTATTTTTTTAATTTGGAACTCTCCTGATCTTATTATTCAAATACATCTATATTTAATTTATACCTACAAAATAAAACTGAGTATTATCATGAAATTTTAAAAAATACATTGATGAAATCTGATTTTTGCACTTAATAATTTATCTATATCTGATTGTTGAAGGCAATTATATAGAACCTTTTTTAAAATAATTTATCATTTTTTTCTTTAAGAAATATGAATATAAGGCAGATGGTAAAAATAAAAAATAGACAATTTAAAAGTATAGTTCAGCGAATTAAGGGAAATTTAAATAAAAATTATAAATTATTTAATGTATTTTGTGATAATACTCAATCGAATTAACGCACTTATTAATAATTAACGTTTTTACACGCTTTTAAGAATTTTTATTAATTAAACATCAACCACCATCTTCTTATGAATATCAGTGTTGCCGACAACCTAAAAAAAAATGTTTGTAGACATTTACTTTATAAAAGTTATTTATGACATATATATTTGTGTTCCTCTGTCTGTCTATCTGTCTCTCTCTCTCTCTCTCTCTCTGTGTGTGTGTGTGTGTGTGTGTGTGTGTGATAATAAAGATTAATATTTAAGATTTAATTATATTAAATTAGTCATCGCTACAACTTTGAACTACTATTAATATAAATATTCACCAATTTTTTTTATACTATAAAATTCAATCTTATTTTAAAGTATAGTTTATATTATATTTGTATCTTACGGAATTACTTAAGGTAAAATTTTAAATTGTATATAATTATAAATAAATAAATACGATATTAACAGAGTTTATAGTAGCGTTGTAATTGCTCAAGATTCGTCAAGAAAATCTACTTACTGAGCAGAATTCTTCAAAACTTATTTTTCCATCCTCGTCTTTATCGGCAAAAAGTATTGTTTTATCAACAATCTGTTGCAGCTGAGTATCCTTCAAATTATTTCCTACCATCATTTTTAGCACTTGAAATAACTCACCATTACTTATAAATCCATCATTGTCCATGTCATAAATTCTAAATGCAAATCTAAGTTTACTTTCTTTATCACCCTGCTTAAAAATAGAAAAATAACACCAATTATTAAAACACATTATTCACGAATTGGAAATTATAATAAAATTGTCTTTGTCCTTAAAGTAAATCAGCTGAAAATCAGCTTCAATTCAAACCTTAACACTAAACTGCGAGACTCCTTGAATAAATTCTTTAAAATCTACTTCACCATTGCCATCGGCATCAAAAATGTCTATGACGCGCTGAACTAGTGGATTTTGTTGTAATTCGGGTAAAGACATAAATTCATCGATGCTTAGAGCACCGCTATTATCAAGATCTAGTTTTCTAAATCTTTTTCCTAGCCTTCGAATTTCGTCAGCATCAACTGCAAATATAAAAACAAAAATACTATAGAAATATAAATAAAACTTGGATTTATTGAAAAATTTTCAATTAACATATGTAAGCATGAAATTGATTTAATTGATTTTTCTTTATCAATAAGATAAATACATATAATGTATAATTCAGCAACGAAATAATAAAATTTGAAAAAATATATTTAAAAAAAAAACACAAAGAAACTAATTGCTATGAAATTTTTTAAAATATTCTTTTAAATTTATAATCCATATTTAAATAAAGATTATTTCATAATTTGCTTGTGATTATAAAACTTTTAAATATCTTAAATATTTTCAAACCAGTTTAAAATTGTTAAATTTGAAAAATAACTTTATGGTATTATTAAAAATTAAAAATAAGTAAAATTTATTAATATATCCTTCGTAACTACTTTATAATTACTATATTTTTAATAAATTGAAAATTAATCGTTTAAACAAAGTGATTACTAAAATTCTGAAACATATCATTCAAATTTGTAAATTATTTTTACAATTTAAAATATCTAAATTCATAAATGCCTCTCATTTATAATTATAAGCTTTGATTTGAGTATACAGATATAGATATATACAACAACAACAACAACAACAAATATATATATATATATATATATATATATATACATATGTATGTATGTATGTATGCACGTATGCATATATTTATGTAAAATTTATTATATTTGTTATATATATATATATATATATATATTTGTTGTATATTTGTATATATAAGCAGTAACAACATTGGTTTAATTTGCCTATAATAAATAGATGAGTGCAAAATTAAATAATTTGGTAAAAACAGTCTATTGAATTTAGTTTGATCAGAAGTGGACAACGTGCAAGCAAGAAGGATACTATTTTATCAAAAGTAATCAAAAAGTTCTACTATCATATTCAGAAAATGTATTATTCAAAATAACGACGATTTTTATTCTAAATCTCCTATATAATCAAGGTTACATCGCGTGAGTTGTCCGTAGCGCCTATAAGCGATGCAACTTAAGATGAAAACTTACAGTTTGAGCAAAGCTCCATAGGCAATGAGCTCTCGTTTCCCTGAAAATGTAAATAAAATATCGTTTTTTAAGCCATATCGGTAATGCATATGTGTAGAATAGGCAAAAGAGAAGCCAGGACAGTGTCGAAGAGGGACGCAACTCTACGAGAAATAGAAAATGAGGCGCACACAGAACGTGAGTCTCCAAATCGATTTCACAGCGCCGCGCGCGAGTTTCCGTCTCTCCCCGAATTTGTCAACAATCTCTAATTAAACTATTACGATCATTTGATACTCACCATTGTGACAAATTTTTTATTTTTGGCTATTTATCGATACGCTCCTCTTCTTCCTCTTGAGGAACTCGACTCACCCCACTGCTCGTTACGATTGGAAATTGATCACAAGTCGACTACGACGACGACTGCGACGACTGCGACGACTGACAGCGACTACGACAACGATACTGACAACGATAATGACAATGACAGCGACAACACAACGACAGCGACAATTTCAGCAACAGTAGCAGCAATAACAACAGCAACAACAGCAGGCAGCAGCACCAGCAGTAGCAGCAACAACAGCAGCAGCAACACTACGACATCCTCCACTACAACTACACTACACTACTGCGATTGCTGCTTTATCACGTCTGTATGTGTACAATTTAAACGCAGATGATGTACGATAACGCCCAAGTGTGCGTGTACACAACTTGCATATATGCGACGCGTCCCCTACTCTCGTGTGCGTGCACATGTGTACACGCGGATCGTTCTTTCATGAGATGGCTGAGCGACCCCCAAAATTCAAACTCACTACGCATGCGTCCCCCGTAAATGGTAAGAAGGCCTTTGCACTTCAAAGCGACTGGAAATAGCAATGTGTAGGTATTATATAAATTCAGCAGAATGTATGTTCAGAAGATTTTTCGTAATTCGCAAGGTGACGATTTTCAAATATCGTTGCCGGGCTTTTAAGTCATTTACTGCTCGATGATCCAATTATGTACAAATATCATTACATACTTGACTACATTGAAGTATCAATCTAAAAGGCCCACTATTCTCAATCACTTTTTATTTCTAATCTCGCTGTGATTATTGGTAATGATTTACGTTGAATTTCGTACATACGTAATAAATTGTGCAGTCGGTTAGAAAAATCAAGTCAACGAAAGAAAGAACTAGCGATCGTTTAAGTCAGTATCTCCCTTCTAAATGGCTTGTTTGGCGGGAGAATAATTCATTGTGTGTACGCACTGTGCTTATAAATAAACGGATGTTCTCAAATAAATGTATATGCTTATATATAAATATGCATATTTGTGTGTGCGCGCATGTTTACCTATGCGTGAGTACGTAGGCTTGTTATTTATTTACTCGATGCTCGTACGAAATTAACTCTACATTAAAATTGTAAACTTTCACATTAAAAACGTGTCAAAATTCTAGATATAATTAATTGACATTAGTTAATGTATTTTAAAAGGTACAATTATGTATTTAAAAGTAAAGTTTAGTGTATCGAACATTATTCCAAGTTAAGGAATAAAATTACAATTCAAAAATTAAGAAATACTATGAGGAACTTACTACGGAATCACAATAATATCAAAGTTATTCGGAAACGTTTAACATAACGAGTAGTTACATTAACAATTAACATTCAAATACAAAATTTTTACTTTTACAATTTGTTTAATGATAAAAACGTACTTTCCATTATTCTATGCCAAACTATGTTTACTATTTATAATATACAAGAGCATATTTAATACTAACTGATATTCAATTTTAATTGCAAGTGACACAACTAAGATTTTTCTATTCACACGCCTTTCACAATCATTTATTTATTTAATTAATAATGTTCTATTTTTTTTTTCAATTTACTCTTTTTACCATTTAGTTTTGAATATCTAAAGTAATAAGTTTAAGAAATCAATAAAATTTTCAATACAAAAAATATTAAAGCTCTAATTAAGCTGATGTATAAGGAAATAATATAATAATAATTCACATATTTTTCACAATAGAGTTTCACTTGTAAAAAAAACTGTTAAATGGTAGCAAACACCCTTGAATTTCAAAATTAATAATATTTCCAGATCTAGGTTTTATTAGAATTACAAATTTTTTATTAAAATTAATTTTATTTTTATATCTAATCTTCGTTCGTATATCTAATTTGTAGTTTGTTGATGTTAATAATATTCATTATGCAGGCAATTTTTCACGATGATATAGATTCCTACGATATTTCTACGATATTTCTAAGATTGCAAACATTAAAAAATAATAATTTCAAATGCTCACACATATTGCAGGTATTAAGTAAAAATTACACGTAATAGTTTTTGGCAACATATAAATATTAAAGACGTTTGATGATTAATTATGTATAATGTGATATGCATAAATAATGTAAAATAAATGAGTTGTATCAACTTTGTATATAATGTGATACTTGCAGTATTAACAGGACTTTATAAACACATCTTGAATGATATCGCATCACGAAGAATCATGATTGTCGCATCAGTGAACAGTGAAAAACCATTAATGACTCTTGAAAAAATGTTAACAGTAAGATAAATAAATAAAGTGTAATCGGCAATCAGTGGCTGTATGAATGGAATTCATACTCATAGAACTGTAGAAATTAATTTTCTCAGAGTATCAAAGGAAAGTCATAAGTGATATACTACTATCTGATAAAATTGCAAGTAATTTAACTCGAGTATTTTAGGAATAAAGAGACAAAATGATATTGCCATCAAAACTTCTCGGTGAAAAGCGACAGAAACAATTTGCAAGGAATTATTGCTTTATTAAGTAAATGATGCGACAATAGTAGTAATTTATTGAATAGCTATGAATGAATGGAAAAATTGTAGGAAACGATTGAAAGGTATTTGGCGGTGATTGAAAATCTTGATAACAATCGAAATTGATAGAAAACCTTATAATGTCTAGGAACTGACAAACTTGAAAAAAAAATCGATTATAATTAAAATTATTTTTAAAATCAGTTATTTGGCAATTATATTGTTAAATGTTTAATGTAATATTTAATATTTTATTCAATAATATTTAATAATATTCGATAAATAATTATATTTAAGGCAATTATATTTAATAAATAAAATTATTTAAAAGATTTTCAAATCTTAATGATTGATTTTAACGTCTATATTGATTTTTCAATAAAAACTTTATCATTACGAAATTATGAAATTAGGGTTTTCAATATTCACTGTTATGTGATTGTACAATGAATGTAAAGCTAAATTAAGCTTATTAAAATAAAAATTTTAAATTAAAAATACTTACATTCAATGTAATAATAAAATATATTCTTGGAATAGAGAAGAACGTTTGAGATTTTTAATTAATAAAGAAATTTTATAATTCATGACAAAATTTTATTAAAAGATATCAGGAAAAAATCTAAATCATGAAAGTTAGAATTATAATAATCATCATATTATTCGGTATAATTTTTTAATCATTTCATAGTTTACAACAATTAATGAAGTAATTAAAAAAAAAAAAAACGATATTGAGTTATCGCTAGATATTATCAGCAAAAAATAAAACGAAAAAAACATATGACAGTTAATGAAACATTATTGACAAAATTTTTTTTCTAAGATATTTTATTAAACGATATTTAATATTTATATCGATATGAAGGGTTATCGATAATATTACTTAATAATAATAGTTTTTAATCGGTGTAATTAATTAATAACTACTTATTAATAATAATTAATAATAAACTGCTAATGTAATTATGTTTTCTTTATCATTTTATGAACTAGTAAAGAGATTTAATTTTGGAAAGTATTCTTATAAATTTCAATTTGAATTCTTAATTATAAGTATTAATTAATTACATCATTCGTCTTAATAATTAATAAATAGGATATTAATAGCAATTTTATTTCATATTTGTTCGTTTCTAGTTATATTAAGGTATAGTCGTAAATTTTATTTTAGTTTTGGCTTAGCAATCATTTTTAATAAATTCATCAGTCTACTTTTTAAAATCTTTAATAAAAAAATAATACAATCTTTAAAAGAAATATTAATAAATGTAGAAATTAGCAAAGGAAATTTATTTTTTGGATAAATTAAGTTAATATATATATATATATATATATATATATATATATATATATTGGAAAATATATTGAAAATTATGATAAGCAAAAAATACTTTAAAAATTTTTCTTAATCGCAAGCATTTAATATTAATTTTTAGTTTATTTAAAATTTTATTTTACTGGTGTCCATGAATTAGTGAACATATGTTTAGTCTAATATAAATAATGTAATAAAAATATATGTACAATTTGTAAATTAGAGTTTACACTTAATACATTTTTTTTAATTTTAACAATTAAATAAACAAGTAAATAACAAGTAATTATAGCATTGATATAATTAAATAATAATTATTTGACACTAAGTGTAATGATACTTTGTACTTAAAATACTAGATATGATTGAATAAAGTCATGTTCTTTGATCATTATATTAAAGAAAATTCGTAAAATATTGAAAGTATTTAATGTTTTAATATTGTATAAAGATTATGCTAACGTAATGTTAAATTTATTTACGTTATTAAAAATTACATTTATTAATAATATCCATAACTTGAATTAAAGTAATTGTCAAATGAAATTTATTATTTTTCTTTTTTTTTCGTTTTGTTTGTAGAGGCTCTTGAAATTCTTATTTGGCATTGATTTGTCATATTCGACTGTAAAAACATGAGTCAACTATTCGCAGTTTCTCGTTTTGCATTTATCATATATACATGTGCTCTTCTCTGCCCACCTGATTCCACTTTAAAATTGCATTTAAGGTAATCAAAAATCCGTATGAATATATAGTTGGGTCCGATTGGTCAAAATTTTGGTCGCAATGTCATTGTTTGGAAAAAGAACTCGAGTTGCGTATCGATTTGCACATTTTGTGCCTTCGATATCTCATAAATTGTAGATTTGTATATGTACACACATGTGCTTTGCTGCTAGTGCCGTAGAACGTCGTTGTCAATTGTAATTATTGCCTTTGTTGCTTTATGGATGATAATTTAAAATTGTTAATAATTAAGCGCATGTCAAGAGTTTATTGTAAATAAATTTCAAAAGTAATATCAAGGTAAGAAGAGTATTAAGGGACAATTTTGTCCATTATAATTGATTTTACAATAATTATGCATAAATAGAATAATAGTTAAAGACATTAATATAAACATTATATTTTCTTTCATCCAAATTTATGATATATTGTGTATTTTATGAATTTGATGTATTTAATCGTCATTTTTTGCAAATTGAATATAAGCAGTGAATTTTAATATTAACACGTATTATATTATATAATATATACTTTTACCATATACATTATTTCTCGTTGTCTAAATAGTTATAAATTTACTTTAATGACAACATTTAGAAATACCAATATGTCTATGTATTAAATTGGAAGAATATTTTACAGGTTATATTTATTACAAGTATTAATATTTAAAAATAAAATTAAAATCGTATATTAAAAGCAACGTGTTAAATAAATGTATAAATTATAGTAAGTTAATGTAATAGAAATTTAAATAAAACGAAAAAAAACCATATTTACAAATTAATTATATAATTGTTGCTTAAAGTGAAAACAGAATTATTTCAAAATTATCTTAGTCATTGCGAATTTAATTTAGTTATTTATTGATATTAAACGATGGGCTCAATTTTGCAGACGATAGTTATTAGATTATATCAGATTAAAATTTAAAATAAAATTTTGTTTTTTTACATGAATTGTTAATATTCTAAAGATGGGTAATCAGGAGACTCCGCCATCATCTCCGTATATGGAGGAATATATTGAAGAAATAGATGATAATGATTTAGATTCAATGGCAGACGGAGATATCGAAATAATAGAATCTTACCAAGTTGAGGAAAACGAAGAAGAAGCAAGCGACGATATGGCCGAAGAAGAAGTAATTGTGGAAGCTATGGAGAGAGAAGATGCGAGCTGTATATTTGAAAAACACACTGGTATTTAATAATTTTAATTTGCTCTTTTTTGTTGAATTATTTAAAAGAAAATAGGAAAATATATTTATCATAAAATTTATAGCTTCTGTATTCTGTGGCTCTTTAAGTAAAGATGCACAATATGCGGTAACAGGCGGCGAAGACGATAAAGCATACGTTTGGGATGTGAAGAGTGGAAAACTTATTTTGGAATGTGAAAATCACAAGGACAGTGTTATATTCGCTGATTTTAGTTACGATGATTTGTATTTAGCTACAGGAGATATGAATGGTATTATTCAAATACGAAAGACATCCGATAGAACTATAATTTGGAATGATGATATGGGCGACGCCACAGTAAGTAATCATATAAAAAAAATATTGTAATTCATCTAGTAACTTTTTACCAAAGCAGTGAGATACTAAGCTGCTTATGATTCTCAATAATTTCATATTAAAAAAAAATATTAATAAAAGCAATGGTTAATAAAAGTTGTTATAAAGAAAGAATAAAGTACTACGAAGTGAGTACATACATCAATTGTTCTAAAGGTAATACAATGCGTTATTTATTCCACAAAAGTAGCATTAATATTTATATATATATATATATATATATAGCGTAATATTTATTTTAGTATTAATACAAAGTTGTTTTTTTCATTGAAAAGATAAATTAATAAAATTTAAATATAATTATGGATATTTTGGTTTAGTGGATGCAATGGCATTCTATGGCGCATGTCTTACTTGCTGGATCTGTCAAGGGTGAAATTTATATGTGGAAAATTCCAGAGGGCGAATGTAAAATTATTCAAGGATTTGGAAACAGAACAGAGACTGCGTGTCTTATGCCAGATGGTATGTACAATACTTAAAACAAACTAAAAAGTAATGAAAATTGTTAAGAATTTTAATTTATTGATTAAAAGATTTTTTACACTAACTTTGGTTTAATTTGTAATTGTATTTTAGGGAAAAGACTCGTAGTCGGTTACGAAGATGGCGTAATTCGTGTAATAGATTTAAAATCCTGTGCAATTTTGACAACAATTTCATCTCATATTGGTCATAATGCTGCTATTACGTCTCTTGATTGTCACATGGATAATAATTTAATTTTGTCAGCTTCGGTTGACAAAAAAACTATTGTTAGTGCTGCTAATACTGGCAAAGTAAGAAGATTAAAAATAAGACAAATTTAAAATAAATATTTTTTATTAATTCGAACGAAATAAATATATCTTCTACAGATAATTAGTATTTTACAAGATTTAAGCAGCGATAGTGATGATAATATTGACGAAAGTTGTAGTTCTGATATTTCAAAAGGAAACTGGATAGAAGCTGTTTCATTTTACAAAGATCCCGTCCAACATATCGCAGCCACTGGAAGTGTTAATGGTTACATATTCATTTGGGACGTATCGAGAAAGGTAAATCCTAACTCATTCTGGTAATAACAATTTCTTAAAAGATGTTTAATAAACTAAAGTACATTGTTTTTCTCATTTTTATTTTTAATAAAGTAATAAAATTTGTTAATACACATTATTCTATTATAAAGATATAATTTAATTAATTATTATTCTTTATAACTTTATTATATTTAGATATTAAGACATAAGATAGATCAAGGGAGTGGAGTTGCTAAGCTTTTATGGAAAGAAAATACGTTCTTAATATTTTCAGCAGGCTTAGATGGAATATTGAGATGTTATGATTCAAGAACAGGTGGATGTGTGCATACTTTCTTAGGTCATACCGAAGATATTCTTGATATATGCATATCTAAGTTAGTATATTTTTTATAAATTATTTAATATTTAGTTTATTTAATCATTGAATACAAATTAATATAATTTAAAAATCTTTATTTTTATTTTAGAGATGGCAAAACAATTTTAACAACCTCTGATGATACAACTGCAAGAATTTTTGAAATTAATGCAGTTTGATTGCCTTGTGTTGCAAATTAAGCAGTTAAAAAAATTTTATCTTCCGAAGAAGCGCATTTATAATTGATTGATGCAATCAATATTTAAAATTTCCAAGACAAAAATGTTATTAATTCATTTGTTAAATTTTATAAGAATTAGCGAGAATTATAGAGTAGAATAATGTTTATTTTAATATATTTTTGCATTTATAATGCTCAATTAGGAAAGTAATTGATTACTTATATTTTGGCATAAACATATTTTTGTAGAATTACAGACTTTGTTTATTGGTATTATCTTAGGTAAGAATTAGATGATTATTTTCATTGAAATATTTCTATATTTATACAAAAAAGCAAAGTTTGTGATAATTATGGATTTAGGAAAATATTGGTAATTATTACCAGTCAAAACACATTGATAATAATTACATTGATAATGATTATCAAATATCGTAGATTTTAACTATTATTACTTAAAAAGCATAGTTGGTCATTTAATCTAAAATTTCACTTGTTTAAAAATGAATTTTTATTAAAGTAGTTTTACTGTACACTGGTTGTTTATTTAAATAAATAAACATTTATTATTAATATAAAATTTAAACTTTCATTTGTAAATAGAATAATTTTTTCTTTAAAAATTGTATATAACATATAAAATAAAATACTCTATAAAAAAAAAAAAAATATGGAGTTCATTTCAATTTTTCTTCATATCAAAATGTTTATGCATTTAAATAATTTCATTAAAAACTATAAATTAAGTAAGGAAGTTAATCTTATTATTAACTTTTAATGGAATATTAATTACATTAATTAAATAATAAAACAAATATTGTATAAAATATTTTTATTTCAATTAATGCGATATCAAAAATATATTATTAGCAAATCAAACAAATCATAAATTTAATAAAAATATTATAACTCTTACTTTTCACCATCATTATAAACATTGACTTTTCTATATTTTTAATTTATACCACTCGCAATCAAGCTTATATTCTTTTCCTTGCCAATTAAATTGTGTGGGACCATTTTCCGCACCATTCTCGAAATAGAAGTGTGAGCTAAATTCAATAGCTAAACTTGATTTTACAAGGCCAATACCGCCTATGACTTCTGGAGCAGGATGATAAACTCTACCAGAATGTACGCTCATGAAAATTTTGTTTGGCTCAAATGGTATCTGAGAAACGATATATAATATAATTTGTCAGATTGTTTATGATTTCGCAGTAAAAATAAATTGTGTATTTATTATATACCATTAAAAGTTCATGTGCATGATTATAACTAAAATAGTCTTCTTTTTTACCAGTTTCTACGTTTTCTTTTTGTAAAACTTGTGTAAAGACTATCGGTAGATCATCACATTTAACATAATTGCGCTCTCGACCACACAATGACAAATATGGAAAATCTTTATATCTATCAGTATTATTTAATCTCAATCTTTTAAAAAAAAATGCCAAAAATTTTTTGTCTGAAATATTAGTATAATATCAACATGTATAAGTTAATAAGTCATATATATATATAATTATGCTCATCAGCATATTAATTATATATGATGAATATCTAAATAAAGCAAGAATTCTCAGTATGAATAATATAAAAATTATACCTTTAAAACAGGATGTGAAGTTTTTTATTTTTGTATCGTCTAGAAAAAGCTATATATCATTTGTTATTTATTTGTTTACAATTTAACGCAAGTTTTAGCAATTGTTAAAAATTATGTACTAAATTACCGATTAATTACCATTCCTTGATGATCGATAAAATAAAAATATTCTCTGACTCTATGTTCTGGACTTTGACCCTGTACGTAAGTGCAGCAATACCGAAAAACATAACGTGGAGATTGTATTATTCGAAATTTAGTTATTGAGAAATTGTTAAGCATACAGTTTAATATCACCATTATTATTATTTAAAGATTTATTTACATTAATGTTATTCTGTGCAGAGGTAAATAGGTAATTACGAGGCCGATCAGCTGTCAATAAGAATCAGCTGGCTTAAGGAAATTTCAAAGGTGGTGGGGGGTGATGAGTATTACATAAGATACAAAAAGCAAAGAGCTTCAAGTATTTATTTGTATTGTTGAAATATATTAATATCGAGATGCTGAAATCACGGTAATATTTTATAATTCAATTAATTTATCGTATGGATAAGAAGTTGTTATAATACAAACGGCTTACTATTGTGCTTTGTGCGAATGAATGGACGAACAATCAATGTTTAATAATACATGCTTTTAATATTTAACAAAAAAAAAAAAAAAAAAGAAAAAAGAGAAAAGAAAGGATTTTTTCTCTACATTAAAGTATAAATAGTTTAATACTTAAATGGCTTTCGACATTGCATTATATATCTATGCAGTTAATTTAATGTTTAATATATAAATGCAATGCGAACGTATGGTTTTATGCACGCACGCACGCACATTATCTATTGTCAATAAAACGCACTCGAGTATTGTGAATTGCCATTATTTGTTCAAAATCATATGTATTTACTTAAGATAAATTCGTTTAAACGTAAAGACTTTTAGCCAAAGAGAAGGAAGATTGGGATGTTGGAGAACGAGTGCTCGCTCTGATAAAAGAAAATTGAAAAATATTTTTATTAAACGAATGTCGGCTAGAAAGCAATAGAGGAATTTTGAATGAATCGAGACTTCGATTCTCGAAGAACTCGAGCGACCGTTTCTCGAACGTTAGAAATTCAAGGTCCAATGATCAACGTCAGACCATTCACGGACGCAATCGCAGATAAATGTGTACAATGTTTATGGCCAACGGCCCACAATATAACTGCAAAAGGTGGATCGTCATCTGGTAGTGTTTGTAGATCAGTGGCAATCCATGCAGACGAGTAAGTAGAGGCGTGTTAGTAAGGCGTTTGGTGGGATTGTCGTTAAGTAGGAGGTGGTAGAGGAGGAGGAGGAGGAGGAGGAGGAGGAGGAGGAGGAGGAGGTGGAGGAGGAGGAGGAGGACAATGATGGTGCGATGGGGTGGGATAGAGCGCGAGGAGGGGGACAGAGTCAGTTAGAGAGAACAGACGTGGGACGACGTTGGAAGTGTGGCCTAGAGGAGCGGAGGAGCCGTGATAGTAGTTGTGTAGTAATAGTGATATGGTAGTGGCAGTAATAGTGTAGTAGCGGTAGTAGCGGTAGTAGCAAGAGCCGAGGAAACGAGATATTTGTTTCTCTGTCTCCCTCCCTCGTTTGCTCTCTCTCTCTCTCTCCCTCTTTTTCTTTTTCTTGGATCAGTGCGTGCAGCAGTGTCTTGGGAGGTAGAGGTGCGCGCGCGTCGAGGTGAAAAAACCTCGTCGAAGTTTTGCATGTGTCGTGGGGAGGGAAAGGGTGAGGAGCGTGCGAGTCGCAGGACGGGTGTCGTGTGCGCGCGAAGGGCGACGGGGATCGAGGTGTGAGAGGCGACAACGGGATAAACGGGACGTGCACTGGAAAGATGCTGCGCACAGATTCCGCGAGGAAAAAATTGCCCGAGCGTAGCTGCGGCGTTGCGACGGTGGCCGACCGAGGAATTGTTGTTACTGCCAAATAAGTCCCTCTCGGGTAACCGTACAGCCAAGGCCTCAGCTTCTCATGCGAGGCCCCTCATCCCCTCCCAAGAATGGCTTCGTCTACGAGGAGATCCTGGAAACTCCGTGAGTATCCTAACCGTTTATCCATTTTTTCAAAAATGAAAATAATACCTTGTATTATTTTTCGTTTTCAAACGGTATTATGCGTTATTTCCTCTCTGTCTCTGTCTCTGTCTCTGTCTCTCTTGCTCTTCCCCTCTCCCTCTACCCCTCTATCTCTTACTTTCCCTCTATCTCCTGATAATCTCTCCTACCCGCGCACCAGGCCTACACATGCATGCATGCGCGCACACATGTGCATTATCACGTACGTAAGTACTCGCTCTCTTTCTCTCTCTCTCTCTCTCTCTCTCTCTCCTAATTTTTTTTTACATAATTAATTGATTTCCGCGTCGTTAAGATTATGATATTTAAACATTTATGTTTCTTGTCAATGCGTTCGTTACTTCGATTCAATCTAGAAATAAATATTCCAACGATTGATTTTTTTCTTCTGTTTATCAGTGATGATAACGTGTACTTGATTCCCTATATCCTGACAATCCATTGTTAATAAATTTAAACCTGCACTTCTTTCTTCGTCGGGCTTTTCATTTTGAGTTAGATTTTGAAATTTAATTAAGAACCTCTACTTTCCTGTTCTATTTTCAATATTCTTCTATGAAAATATCGTATATTGTCAAGCCTCGGACGGCCCGTCTATCAATTTTTTTTGTTTTTATAATTTTGTTCAAGCGTTTGTTTACGATAACAATTAATGGGCGTTCAATATAGAAATCAATGTAAGCGGGAAGTCGATTTATGATAGCATAAACGAGCCCGATAATGGTATCATTAATCTGTTATAGAATTAGATGATTTCTCGCTATTTATTTTGATGACTTATTTTTTGTTTTGCAATATAACGTTGTTATTAAATATCTTATGTTTTTCATAGTTTATTCAATGAAATGTGTCTGTTATATGAGTAATGAGTAGTAACATGTAAATGTTCATGTCAATTTTTTTAGCTTTATCAATGAAAAAAGCGTAAATTTCATTTAAATTAATTTGCGAATTCGTTATTCAGTTTTTTCATTTACTGAAAATTATATTCAATGTAATTTTCATTTATGAAATCAAATAAAATAAATGAATATTACATTATGAAGGCTACTTATTTGCCTTTGGCTTTTTATAATTAATTGATATTTAAATGATATTTCTTCTTAACTTTTTTGCCTTTTTACGAATGATATTCACAATTTCATTAATTTCATTTTCTTTAATTTTATAATCTGCAGTAATGCGGTCCATTCAGGCTTATAAGTTTCATTTATTTATCAACTTGACTCATCAGAAGCATAGTGCCTTTGAAATTACATTTAATCGACAGTTTCATTCATATTCATTCTTTTGTTTCATTAACAATTTCTTTATAAAAGTCTTAATTTACAAAATATTATGATTAATCTTTCAAATCTAGCGTTTGTTATCAATTGATAAATTATAAAATAAATTTTATATTCCACTCTTATATCCAAAGATGATGTAATTTAATATTAAAAGCATTAACAAAAGACTTATAGAAAACAAGTTTAATCGTATTATTATTTCCGTTGCTTAAATGGCCAAATAAAATAGGACAAAACATTTTATTTTTACAAAAATTTTAATTATTTTTTGCTTCTGTTCTTAATAGTAAAAATAATTCTGCTGAAATAGACGGGCTTTATTTTTAATCCATTTCCTACTTTTTCTTTCCTGTAATATTTATAGGTCAATGCATTACTGAATACCGAGTTTTCTCTTTGGATTGTTAAATATACATTTTACAGTAAGATGTTTTGTATTGTTTGTATCTAATACAAATTCGAGTGCCAAGTAGACATTGCTAAATCTATTTTTAGATGATTTTTTGGAAGTTATATGCAGTGAACTATTTATTTGCAGAATAAAATTAGAATTTATAGGCAATGAATTATTATTTTTTTATATTTTGAGTTTTAATAATTCAAGCTATTGGTATTTTATTAATGATTACTAACAATAATACTAATATAAAATTTTACAATAATTATAAAATTATAAAATTGTATTATCAATTAATAATTGTATTGGAAATTATAAATGGACGATATGTATTTCTTGTAGATTTATAGTTTGATCTTACTTATTAAAATAAGTTAAAATTAAAAACATTATTTTATTATTTATATATGGTAAAAAGTATTGTACTAAATTGCTTATAAATGATTAAATCACTATAAAGAGTAAAAAAAAAAGTTGCCTAATAAAGGTCCATCGTAATATTGAAAGTATGAAGTTATATAGTGAATTATCAGAGTACTCGTACTTAAATATTCTAGAAAGTAGCTCTTTAGATATGAAATACATTATTTATGATTTACTTATAGCATTCAAAGATTTATACCTATGATTTAATAGAAATGATATTTTAATAATTTTCCCTTTACCGCTTTGACACTGATGATTAAAGCGATATTTTAACTTTTAATGTTCATTGAATAGTTCAAGTAGTTTCATAATTAATTTATAAACTTTATACAATTATATCACATTTATTATGCTCGCAGATGTAGATATATAGAAATTTAAACGAATATAGATAGATACTTGAAATACCTATATAATATAATAATTCTTTAAGCGATTATTGAATTTGATAAAGTCTGTATAATTTCAATATTTTTATAATAAATTCATATAAAAATCTTATTTATACGATTATTGTTATTATAAAGTAGTGTAGTCTAGTATAGGCAACTTAGCTAGTATGAAAATTATGACATGTTTATGAAAACAGTATGGTTGCATCATAACAGGTATTTCAAGTTCCTATTAGTATTTAATGTAGAGTTGTATGATCTATATTTCTTGTAAAATCGTCCGATTTCAATGAACTATTGAATAATATAACTTTTTATTAATTACAGAGGATTTTACTGCCCATTCCTCGAATGTCAATTGCCTATCACTAGGTCACAAGTCCGGAAGAGTTTTAGTCACAGGTGGAGATGACAATAAAGTCAATTTATGGGCAGTTGGAAAGCAAAATTGTATTATGGTTCGTAACATACTTTGTACTTAGCCTCATTAATTATAATATTATACATAAAATAATATTGCAAATAGATATTTATAGTTTGGTATTTTATTTTTAAATTATATTTAATTTATCATAATAAGAATTAATATATTTAAATGTATTCATTAGACATTATACCTGCATTATATTATAAATTTTTATATTATATTATATTATTATTATCATCATATTATCTTTTATAAATTTATTACAAAACAAATTTATAAATTTATAAATTATAAAGCAATGAAAAGTTAATGTCTATTTATAAAGAATTTTCTGGCTTTAGCTTTGAAAGTAATTTTCTAATGATGTATATCTAATTTTAGAGCCTTAGTGGCCATACTACTCCAATAGAATGTGTTCGATTTGGTCAAACGGAAGATTTAGTCTGCGCGGGTTCGCAAACTGGAGCATTGAAAATCTGGGATTTGGAGCATACCAAACTATCTCGTACACTCACTGGTCATAAAATGGGTGTTCGCTGTATGGACTTTCATCCCTATGGCGAATTATTAGCATCGGGTAGCTCTGACACTACCATTAAATTATGGGATATTCGCAGGAAGGGCTGTATTTTCACATGCAAGGGCCATGACAGGATAGTAAACAATTTAAAATTCAGTCCGGATGGCCAATGGATTGCCAGTGCTGGGGAAGAAGGCACGGTTAAAGTGTGTACAATTTTAAAAATTTTTAAAAATAATTTTAAATTAATAGAAGATCGTTACAATTCAGTTATTAATTAATTGTCGCATAATAATTTCATATTGCCAAGTAAATATAAATTACTTAATGGATATCGCATGTACAATTATATATCAATTTATTTACTAATAAAAATATTACTTTCAGTTGTGGGATTTAAGAGCTGGTAGACAGTTACGGGAATTCACAGATCACAAAGGTCCTGCAACGTGCGTAGAATTTCATCCACATGAATTCCTTTTAGCTAGTGGTAGTACAGATCGTGTTGTTCATTTCTGGGATTTGGAATCCTTTCAACTGGTTTCTTCCTCCGAACAGAACAGCACCGCTCCAGTCAGGTAAAACATTGTCCATTGCTTTAAATTTAGAATAAAAGAATAAAAGTATAAAATTATTATAAATTATAGGCATTATTTACTTTATTTATTAACGATTCATGTATTAACTAAACAATTTATTAACAATTTTAATATTCGTTGCAGATGTATATTTTTTAGTCATGGTGGTGAATGTCTCTTTGCCGGATGTCAGGATGTTTTGAAAGTTTATGGTTGGGAGCCAGCGAGAACTTTTGACTCTGTTCCGGTTGGTTGGGGAAAGATTCAAGATGTAGCCATTGCTCAGAATCAATTGGTAAAATCATTCGTTATGCAATACTTCTTTATGTTATAGAGTTTACGTAATCATATTTTTTTGCACTACAGATAGGTGCGGGTTTTCATGCTTCCAATGTTGTTTTATACGTGTGTGATTTGAAAAAAATTTCACCAATAGGAAACGATACATTAACCTCGCCATTTTCCTATGGAAATTCTTTAAGAAAAAGCTTCTCTAAAGAACGACCAGCGAGTTTAAAGAAACACACGTTAGTAATATTTGAAATTTTGATTTATGTTTAATTATTCATATAATATATTTCTAATATTCTGAACTTGTAATTTCTTCCGCATTATTATGCAATTACTTTTCTATGAAAGTTGTAATGTTTTTTTTCACATCTCATATTTTTATTTATTTTGTATTCACATATGTAAAATAAATGTTTTTAATGATATTTCTTTTTACAAATCAATCATGATAAATAATGTAATTAATGATGATTAAATATATTTTAGAATGGATGTAAAAACAATTGAAGAAGATAAGTCGGGTACAGATCCAGAAGATGAGGTAATGTTTGACATACCAAATGTCACCGAGTACAGAGATGTCTTCCAGCCTACGCGGTCGCGTAAGTAATGTACCTAAAATAAAAAAATACGCAATCACATTTCTGAATCTAGTCTTAAAAATTTGCACAAAACAATCACGTGTTCACTTTGGTCTCACAATTCTATTGTGTTTACTAAATGAATTTAAATACTATTTACTAAATTTGGTCTTAACATATTCTTTGAAATTTATTCTTTCTTTTCCTTCAATGATAAACTATAAATATTTAACAAACGCACTTTTTGTTGTAATTATTGTGATAAATTTTTCTTATTAACTCTGTTATAATATAATACTGTATAAATATATTTTATACCTTTTAATCTATAGTTTAATAATGTTCTCAGTCGGACAATCAAATTTCACATTATTGTAACCATTACGCAGAAAACCATGATATTCAAATTTCTTTTTAATTTGAAATATTTTATAAATATAAGAAGTATCAATAACTCTTTTGTCTCATGAAGATATATTAGGATCGTCATTTTTGTCTTTTTCATAAAGGTTATACGTTTTTTTTTCTTTTATATAAAATATAAATGTAAGGAAAATTACTATTTACAAAGTTCTCGATGGAAGTTCAAGGGAGAAGAAGGCGTCGACTATATTTATAGCCAATTCCAAGCTTAAACCATTGTAAAAATTTGTTATAAATGAAGGCTTTTCACGTAATTAATGATATTAAAGATAATAAAGGTGTGCTTTAAAAAAAGCAAAATGAAAAATATTCACTTGAGACCAGATTTTAAAGAGATATCTATGAGTGAGCATGCACTATGCACGATATGTTTCAGTAACTCGCACCCCGCCTCCGCTGCCAGAGGCTTTTCCGGAGCCTTCCGAGGAGCCAGGTAATAATTAACGACAATTCTTCTCTCAATGTGTGATCTTTATTCTGATCAATGCTAAATGCTAAATGTTTGCACTATTTTCATATTTCTTTTTCTTTCTGTCTGTCTCCCCCCCCCCCACCCTTTTTTTTGTTTTGTTTTAAAACTTATGTAAAATAGTGGTAACAATTGTTGTTTTATGATAAGGATGGCACATGTTGTTAGCGAAAATTTGTAACGTTTATGAGAAAATTAGCATTTTACCGTTATTGATTCTGTGTTACAGCCATTAGCTTGCTTTTGGCACATTTTGCATTTTAATCGATAAATATTATATATTATACTTATATGTACTGATTCCTAAAAAAAAAAAAAAAAAAAAAAAAAAAAAAAAAAAAAGTCTGATAAAAAAGTTAGTAAAATTTTTTAATAGAATATCTATTAATAATGGAAAATTTCGAATTCATGGTAGACCGTTAAAGCAGACGAAAGTGAAAGTGTTTCTAAAGCGCTATTGAACAAAAAAAAAAAAAAAATAAATAAATATAATAATAATTACGGTCATAATTAAAAGACTTCGATTAAAGCAGTTTTCAAATAATATTTGTAATTGTTAAAACTTATTTATAAATATTTAAGTATTAATTTATGCGATAAATGTATTTCACATTAAGAATTAAATTAACAATTTAATTGAATATCATTAATTAATTGCACCCGATGATAGACAAAAAGAAATCTTTTAGTTCAATGCATTTTCATGGCTAACATTTTTGTGCAAATGGTTTAAAAATAATTATTCGACTCTCGGACGTTTCCCATAAAACGTGCTGTGTAAAACATGTGTGTATTTTCTGGATTTATACGTATAAAGAGCCCGAAGGTGTATGTAATTCAGTTGAATAAAGAAATATCTCGATCTAACCGCAAACGATCATATAACAAAGTCCAAAGTCGCACCGTCTCTTACGCGAAACATTGCGCACGTTTTTCCAGAGCCATTGCAGTCACAAATGATCCGCAGTCTGTCAAACTCTATGTCAAGTCTATTGAGCGCCGATACGGAAGAGAATGAGACGTCGACGTCACCTGTGCCCATATCCGCGCCCCTACCCAAGCCGATGCCAGTCCGAGTTCATCCCATAAAGTCAACGCCGCTTATACAAAGGAGCCCCATAACGCCCATATCGTCAACCAGTCAAATTAGGTAATTGAGACAACTTTGGCTTGTAGATGGCATCGTGTGATTTGAAAGGCCGTTCGATTTATGCCTTTCGGTGTTGCTTCAAGCGGTAGTATCTCGAAAATGCCTTTAAGCAGCCGTATATAACGAGATGCATTGCGAGCTATTACTATGATTTATATATTTTGATTACGCATGAGCGTCGTCGATGCTTGGCTTTGAACACAATTTTGGAATTATATATATATATATAATTAACTGTGCCTCTTCGTACTAATTGCTTTGGCGACGATACTTTCCAAGATGGCTTTAATCATTTGAGCGTCAAGCGATGTGTATGATAAGCGTTACGGATTTTTTCTTGCATATTTTCTGCACTTTCTAAGCCTGATATTGAAGAATTTTGTGTAAAATTGTACTACGCTCTTATGTTTTGGCGAAATAAAAATTCGAAGAATCTCCTCCCTCCTCTATCTTGTTTGCTTGTATCACCCAGGGAGTATTGTACAAAACGATCAAATTACTATTAAATATTACGCTCGGATTCGCAACGAAAGTGTGTGGCTCGACGAATGCTCAAACTCCCAATCGACTGGCAATTGCTCCAAAGTACCGCTACATTGAAATCTTATATTTTTTTTAACAATGAACGAGTGCATTTGTAGAATGTGCACTCAATCGATGCGTCGCACTCGAAAGCCAAGGGTTGAAATCAAGCCTCTTATTTGCAGAGCGAATTTACAAGCGAACAGCAAGAATTCGAAGAACCTCGCGCCGGTGCCACCGCTGCGTCAAAGCCTGACCCCAACGATCCCAACGATGGCGACAGCAACGGCGGTGACGGCCGCAGCGAACCTCGGGAAGCGTAACCTCGGACCAGCCTCGCTGATGCCCCCGCCTAAGCCCCTCGGGCCCCAACGCTCGAACACGACCCTTACACCGAGGAACGCTCCCATGGCCGCTGTCTCGCCCGTCATGGACGATGGCAAGCTCAAGTCCAGGGCGAGCAGCCCCGACTACCCTAAGCAACTGCTCAAGCGGCAGAGCAGCTGCAAGGATGGCGAGCAGGGATACGAGAGCGACTTCCCCGTCAAGTGAGTTCATTGTCTCGGCTCTTCGCTAGCCCTCTCACTCACTCACTTGCTCATTTACTAGCTCACTTGCACACGCAAATCGCCACTCTCTGTTCTTCTCTCTTTCTCTATTATTCTCTGTTTTTCTCTGTTCTTACATTTGACTATTATATTATGGATGTTTTTTCCTTATTAGTGTCTTTATGTATTCTTTTTGTAAAATTGACCAATTCACTTTTGTGAGGTACCAGACGTTTTCCATACCGACACTCTGAGAAATTTGCATTACGATGAGCATTTACGACTGCGTAGAAGCTAAGCATAGAAAAGTGTACTTTTTAGAAAAACAAATGTGTGTGTGTGTGTGCGTGTGTGTGTGTGTGTGTGTGCGTGTGTGCGTGTGTGTAAGTAAGCTATAAGAAACAAGAAAAGTGAATTTTAAATGTATTGATTGGTATTGTTTTGTGTCAGAATTAACAACTATTTAATACTTTGATCCGTCGACATTGATGACTCAATTTTTATCTATATTGAATCGCAGATATTTTGATAGTAAGCTTTAAACGTGTTCTTTAAATATACATTAAAATGAAAAATATTATTTATTTTTGCTTTCAAAGACTTAGGGCATGACATTCGTAAAAACGAAAATTTTTAAAGGATGAATGAGATATTCTCACCTATACTTGATAGTACTTTGGTGTTAAATCATTGTCAATAATGGCGCTGGAAGTAAATTCAACAATTATTTTTTCTCTCTCGCAGTATTTATTTACCATGTCACTTATCCGGTTGATTTGTCTTATCTAATGAAATCATGAAACCCGAAAGAAAACTTTAATCTTTTTAATTTACTATAAAATCGCCAATGTACACGATGCGTGAAAAGTAGTTTACACATGACCAAAAGCTTAAAACTTTATACGATTTTCATTAATTCCTTGATTTAAGAAATATCCGTAAAACCTCTATAAACAGGAACAAGCGACGTTTTTACTATTTCATTTAAATTTTATCCATTTTTTCAAACTTTCAAAGTGCACTCGTTAATATATATATATATATATATATATATATATATATATATATATATATACATACATATTTCCTTTTTATTTGTCAGGTAACAAAGACTTCGATTAAAACTGATAGCTGTCAAAGAATATACGGAAACATTCGTTTTTGTGTATTTAAAATTTAAGTTTATCGTTTAACTGATATACACTTGTCTTTGTAAATCAAAAAAAAAAAAAAAAAAAAAAAAAAAAAAAAAAAAAAAAAAAAAAAAAAAAAAATGCTCGGTTAATCTGAGATAATTTTGATTACTTGTAGGCCGAAACAAACCGAAATTAGTAATGTACGTGTCAATGACAATTCATTGGTTTTTCAATTATACATCATAGTAATAATTCGTAAATAAATAGAGCATCCTTCACAATCCCTAAATTAAATACGCGGTAGCTCATGCGGGTGTGTATGCATTTGTCTTAAAAAAATTAAAAAAAAAAAATAAAAAAAATAATAAAAAAAAGGCGCTAATCGTCTTTTACGATGATTACGCTCGGCCACTTACCCATGCTACCTCTGCTACCTCCGTAAGGGCAATATATGCTAATTTAAACTAGTAAATAAATGTCAGCATACATTAAGAAAGATGATAAACTCTTATTTGCCATCAGAATCCACAATTTGAAGCACAGCCCGTCGGATCCACAGCTGAACAGGCCCAACACAGCTCAGCAGACGCGTTCGATCGGCCGGAACTTCGTTGCGACGACGCCCCTGTCGGCCCGTAACCATCACAACAGCAATGGCTCCACCTCGACTCGGAAGCTACCTAACAAGGCCCAGGTCGCCCCGAATCCCAAGACCGAAATACGAGTCGCCCAGTTAAAGCCTTCGGTCCAAGAGACGCAGGAGAAGCACGTCGAGTTCATATCGATGACGGCTGACAAACCCTATGGCCTCGACGTCGAATCCTTCCTGCCGGTGAGACCTAATTTTTATGCCCGTACAATCATTTTGAGTTTTTGGAAGCGTATTCCCAGGCCATTATTAACAACCACTTTGATGTGTTGGGCAGACTTTTTAAAATCAACTTTCTCCGATAATAGGCCATTTGTTAATCGCGCTATTAAATTCTTAATTGAGTAACTTTAACGATTAATTAGAATTTCGGTGACTGTACTTGTTGAAATCAATTGGACTTATGGGTTGTTGCGGTTGGGGGATCCTAGAATTATCTCTTGATATTCATATAATCGATTTACAATGAAATTTTTATTTGTCTATAATATGTGCAATGAATTTAATATCCCGAACATTTCATCTCTTTCATTACCATAAATTTAGTCCTTTAAAATGCCCGAACCATTTCCAATAAACGCGCTATGACAATCCGCTTCGGACGATGAAGAAAAGGCCAAAAGTTATCGCGAGAATCACATAATAATTCACCGCATATTAATTGTGCGCGTAGAAAAACTATTCTGGACAAACGTCGCTGGAATATGCGCAAATGGGAGTGTTCGCCGAGATGTCGGAGGCTGAAGTATTAAATACGATGATGCGTGGACACGAGTCAATGATGGCCGTATTGACGAGTCGGCACCGATCCCTACAAATCATCTATTCACTCTGGCACAACAAAGACATGAAGGTGAGTATTGAACATCCTCGCAATTTTCAATATGCATAGTGCTTTTATCATTGCTTTATTATATAATATAATGTTTATTAAGATTTGCATGTTCTCTTTCTTTGATTACGAAAGTGTGTTTAAATGGCGATTATAAATAGGTGATAGCAAACGCAGAAACAATGCATGTATGTATATTTATTAAGTTCTTTATTATTAAGCATTACAATATCTTTTCTTTTCGTATTTCAACAAAATGTAAAAATTAAAATATTCATTTTATGCGGGATTCTTGTGAATAAATGTTGTAGAAAAAGTAAGAGAGAAAAAAATTGTCTGGATACTACTAAAGAAATCGTCAAATATTTTATAATCAATAATTTTTTGTACAATGGATTTTTGAACATTCGTGTTTTACAATTTTTTCTTTGTAGGAAAACGCGTAATCTTTAAATCTTGTCCGAGTTGCTGAAAAAATGAAAAAAAGAATTTTTTTTATTTTCATATTACGTGTATTAAAATGAATGGTTTAAAAGATTATAAATAAAAGCAATTATAGATGAAATCAAAGTTTTCCTCTTATTAATTTTAAATGATTTCTGTAATTTTTTTTTTTTTTACGAAACAAATCAATGAATGCTATTTTTACTTTGAGTATTTTTTTTTTTTAATTTCCAGTCAGCCGTCGATTCCGCAGTAGCAATGAATGATCTTGCTGTCATCGTCGATCTTTTAGGAGTACTTACCTTAAAACCGTAAGATAAGACAGTTTGGCTAATATTAATATATTAATATATATATATATATATTTTTTTTTTTTATATATGTTAACAGAGCAATTTGGAACTTGGACTTGTGCAATTCCTTGATCCCTCCTATTGGTGACCTTCTTAAAAGCAAGTACGAAATGTGAGTAAAATCATTGATTATTCTATCGCTGTATTTTCAGAGAAATCCCTGGAAAAAAAAAGAAATGACGAAATCAGTTATTTACCTTTTTTGGCCGAACCTCGCTAAAGAAACGTTTATTTGTGAAAATTACGATCTCGTTGAAACAAGTCGATTGTATCACCGTGTACGTGTGTATATATGAATATATATGTGCATTCAACGTATATAATTAAAAAAATTTATGCCAATTTTGATACTCGATATTATTATACTATACACGCATATATATATATATATATATATATATTTTTTAATCAACAAATTCGAATTAAATTTATTGTAATTTATTTAAAATTTTAATCAATAGTCATTACTATTTCATCTATTGACGGTCAAAATTTAGGAAATTAAAACTAATTTAATATTAAAACAAATAATATTATTATTATTTGTCGTTATAAATTCGTAATTTGTTAATTTCAAGGCATACGTAAAGCACAAGTGCATCGTGATCCGGAATTACAATAAATCCATCCCAAATAAGTTAGTCTTTATCTAGGTATTTTCTATTTAATATGACAAATTAATTTCATTTTCAAGTGCAAGAAAAGGGCACCTTTCTTTTAATAGTGTGCATCACGATATAGCATGCATACTAATAATAAATATTCTCCGGAGCTTTTTAAAAAAGGAAATTCATACGTCATGACGAAGGAATTCCTCTTAGCCTTACGTACAATGTCACTAAAATTTACCTCGATAAATACAGAAAAGTAAAGAGCGTCAAAAGTCACGGGTGTATGAGTAAATGTATTCCGCCCGCTTCTACGCGATGGAATATGTAATGTCAAGTGAGCATTCTATAAAAGCCCTGACGAGAATGCGATAATAAAGCAGAAATCGATAATGAGAAAACTTAAAGAAGCTATGAATATGGTGTATAGATTTACAGGATTTGTGTCGGCCCACGCGCTTATCCAACCAAAATCAACCGCAGCGCGTGTCATAAAAACGAGAGTTGCAACATAAAAAATATTTCTCGGGAACACACGATTACGAATGTGTGCGCGTGCGTTTTGTGGTTTCATTTCCTCCGCTTTAAACGAGATTTCATTTTGTATTCTTCAAATCAAGCAGTATATCGATGATTTTAAAGCTTACGTATACTATTATTCAATTAATTAGTCAATTTATTAGCTCGTAATTTATATTCTCATCATAGTAAATGCCGTGGTAAAAAGATTACAATCACCAAAAAAAATTATCTAATTAATTTATGCCCCTAATTCAAGCATACGTGTTTATATTATGTTTACAATAATGCAATATTAATGGATTTTTTATTTTTATTTATTATGTTGCCGAATAATTATATAAGATTCAGTATTAATATTTAATAATTTCTATTAATATTAAATTTCTCGTATTATTTATCTATTCAAGTTCTAACTATCTATATCATTGATTAATTAATTTAAAACCTATTTAATTTCTCTCAATTTAAATTAAGTAAATTAATTTTAACAATAAAAAAAGTATTGGTTAATTTATGAAATAAATGGCCAATGCGAAAAAATCAAATAATAAATATATAAAGTTTGATTGATGCTTTAGTGTGTAAATTTATATAAATTTTGACTTATCAAATATTAGGATATTGTTGTAGAATTTAAATTCTTTGGAAATAAAATTGATCGCCACTTTTATTGTATAATATAATATAATAGAGATCACAAGCATAATTGTATATTAGCAAAATCTCATTTAAAATACAAATACTTTTGTTTTTCAATAATGCTCCTACATACATTCACAAGTTGATGTTGTAGGTAAACTTGTTATTGCAACATTATATTCGCCGGCCGATTTTTGTGTACAATCACTTACTAATGACGGAGTTATATAATTCTGAAGAAATGAATTTTCAAGATGAAAAGATGAAATTATCGAACGTTCTCAAGTACTGTTTTAAGGGACATCCATCTGTCGTGAATTATTTTCCTTACATAATCCTATTCTTTCATTCGTATAAATAAGCTGCATATGAGGCAGAAAAAGTTGCAGGCAAATGGTAACGAATTTTTATGGCCGGTATGAAGAAGTTTTACGATCATTTTCAAACTTAACTTTTTGCCGTAGTCATAGCGAACCTAAATATTGAGATTACAACGACTTGACATTGAATTATTTTTAAATCAATGTTTTATGTATTGATTTATTTTCGCTAAAAATGATTTAAATATTTTTTTCTGATCATAATAAACAGTTTCATTTAACACTATTAATATAAAGTTTTAATAACAATTTTTTTCAATTTAAAAAACAAGATAAAAAAGCCTTTAAGCATAGGTTATTGATTTAAATTATCATTTACGTGAGATGATATTCTACTAAATTAATTAATTTTTTTTTTCACTATCCTGGTTTTAATTTTCTTAAAAATTGATGCAAATACGGGAAAACATTTGTTTTGTTTTGTTTTGTTTTGTTTTGTTTTGTTTTGTTTTGTTTTCTTATCAAGTTTCCTTATAATTCTGAACTTTGAATATAATTAAAATAGTGCAAATGACTTTGCAAGTTCACAATTTACGTCATTAATTACTTACATTTTCGTACAAATATTTATTACACTTTTATTACAGTTCAGGCACACTGAATATTTTATACGATTTGACGAATACGTTACAGAGGCGTGCGTTGCGCATTCACTTTTATTGAATAAAATGATAAAATGCATATATAGAAATAATAAGAGAATTTTCGTTATCAACACTTGATGATTAAAAAAAAAGAAGTAATTAGTATGTCAGCCAGCGGAATCCTAAACATTTTATTTATGTATTATTGTTAAGTAAGACTGTATTTCATAAGTATAATTAGCAACTAGTGTCGTTTTCAAATTTCAAACCGAATGAAAATAAATAAAAATAAATATGAATAAATATGAATAAATAAAAAGCCGGTCTATCAATATTTGACACTCTCATCTCAATCGCTTCCATACATCTTGTACCAATTGAACGGCATTATTACAAAAGCCGTATTATTACGATCGACATATAGCAATGGTTCGGGTAAACCCTCCCACTCTCCCTCTCCCCCTCCTCAATCATCCACTGCCCGCTCGACGAGACGAAATTGAATTAAAAATTGAAATAAAAGCATTTACATCCCTTTCCCATCGTCGCTGTCCGTCATCGTTAC